CGGTTATTGCTTGGAGGGAGAGTCCCCCTCCCTACAGGAAGCCACGACCACGTGTGTCAGCAGGGAAAATGGCCGCGGATTCTGTTCGACACCCAATGCGGAGTTCGTGAACGGAAGCAAAATTTTGCAAACGGTGCTGTTCGTGACCCGAATTGGTCGCGAACAGAAGCATTTGTGACCCGAGGTACCACTGTATATATGTGCAACCAAGCACACAATGGGGAATATACATCAAAAGCAATGTGCTGGCGCTGGCAGCCATGAGTGCACTATGCAAACAGCCCGGTATATTCCCCTTTGGGTGCCTGCTTTCTTTCTTGTAATCCTTTCCTCTCCAATCTCTCTGCTCTGTGGAGGGTGGGGGAATAAACCAAGCGATTTCTGTAGGCAATCTCTCCTGTGCCTGACCCTTTCTTTTCTCCCCCTCCCTCGCAGAGCAGAGAGATTAGAGAAGACGGGATTATAAGAGAGTAAGCAGGCACACAATGGGGAATATATCGGGCTGTCTGCATAGCACGCTTATGGCTGCTGGCTCCAGCACATTGCTTTTGATGTGCATTCCCCATTGTGTGCCTGCTTACTCACTTATAATCCCTTCCTCTCCAGTCTCTCCACTCAGCAAGGGGGCAGGAAAGAAAAACAACAGGTCAGCCACAGGACAACACATACTGATTGTAATGGCAATCACGTAACTGAGGGATGCTCCAAAGGTTGTAAATGTGGGCAATGGTTGTAAAGTTATTTTTTCAGCACCGTTGTAACTTTGAATGGTCACTGAATGAGGCAGTTGGTAAGTGAGGACTACCTGTAGTAGTCTGAAACCCTAAAATTACTCTTTAATCCAAGCATTGTCTTTTTTCTTTTCTTTATTAACCAGATCTGCTGTCTATAAGTTGTGTTCTCTAGAACTTGGCTTCAAAATGGTTCCAAGGTTCATTTTGCTTCATCTAATTCTTATCAAATACTAACTCTGCTTTACTATGATACCTACACTATATTTCCTAGGTGAGAACCTCTTTTTGTCTCTCTGAAGTGCTAGATAAACTTGCTCAGAAAATATCCCTTTCTTTTATCCTCCAGCCACCTGGTTCTATGCATGATTTGCCTAGCTTTTGATATCTGGCAAGAAGAATCCTCCCCTCTAAATTATTGGTAGAAGGACCAATGGTTTTAAAAAGTCATATAAAGAATCCATAGTCAGAGGGATACTGCTGCAGAACATCTCAAGCAAGCTTTAAGATTAGCTACTTGCCTACCTATTTTTAACCAAATTGTTTGGGGGTTTGGAAAATAGTGGACAATCTTCTTTCATTCTCCCCATTGACATTAAGCATAGTCTAGGACAGGGTTAGCAATTTTTAGTGACCAAGGGGAGACTTAACATGGAGTCGGGGGAGCAAGAGTGCCAAGGGTCACAGTGGATGAGACAAAATGGATGGCACCTCATCACACTTCACTTTTTGAGGCAAGTATTTTTCTTTTCACTCTATTAGGCCTATTTCAGGACTTCTGTTACAGTTTCCCTGAACATTTAGCTCCCATGATCAGAGATGACAACACCAGTTCTGTGGTCTAGAAAGTTGTTGCCTTCTTGGCTTTTTCTGGATAGAAACTAGGATTGTACCTTCAGATATATTTATTTAAATATTTATATCGACAGAGTTGCAGACCTCTATTGTTTCCCAGAGCAGGTCATTTGTTGGGTAACAAAGGCAGTTGCAGTGTTAAAACTCAGTCTGAAATCTGACTGGAACAGATCCAGATAATCCATATACTTAAGTGCATGGGACTGGTTGGCCACTACTTTGTCAAGTATCTTGACCCAAAAGGGGATATTTACAATAGAGCATCTGCTCTGATGTATCTCTAGATCTTTAGAAGCCCCACTATCCCTTTCAAGCCATTCTATATTGAGGCAACTGGCATTCCCTAAACCGATCCTATCAACTCCCTCTGCTTGATCTAACAGCCAGGATGGCTGTTCAGTGACACATAATTTTTACCAGACTGCCAGAAACATCCTGGAAATTGTTTATTTTTGTCCTAGCTGCTTTATAACAAGTATTGGTTTTTTGTTATTCTCCCAGTTTCATTTCTATAATCCTTTTTTTATAAGTGAACTTCCCTTGATCCAATCCCTGGACTTCCCCTATTTCCCTGCCATTCATTGCAAAGGTAATAATTTATTAAACTTAAATAAATGAAGTACTGTGCAAAAGTTTTAGGCAGGTGTGGAAAAATTCTGTAAAGTAAGAATGCTTTCAAAAATATATATTGTAATTGTTTATGTTTATCA